TACTGATATTTTTGTAAATTGTAATATGAAGTCATTTTTATTAATGCTGTTCTCTTTATTTTTGGTACACATTTATCTCAAAAAAAGAGGCATTTTACATGGAATGATCAGCAAATGAGACACATTTAGGCATCAGACAAGATCATTAATCATTTAATTATTGTAATCACCTCTAACACATGAAATGGTTTGGTGGACAGGGACTGGGGGATTGATTCAATTTATTGCGTGAGTGGACATTAAGCTATCTCATGCAGCATGCTTCACTATCAGGCAGTGAAACTTACTAACATGAGCCTATATTGGGGAAGAGAAAGAATTCTCTAAAAGAAATGAAATAATTGATCAATAAATCTTATGAGAAAATTCCTCTTTTTGACCCAATATCCTATATAGGTCAACCAAGATAAAAAGATGGACTCTCTTTGATGCCTAGTATATCTTCTTGACATTTTTTTTGAAGATAAAAGAAAAAAAACATAGAATGGAAAAGAAGATACAAGGAATGTGATAAGCAATCACTCGAGAGAAAAAACCAACCCAAAGAGAACCCAAACCAACTAAAGATAAACCCAACTAAAGAAAACCCCTTATAATAACAACAAAAGAAAACAAAGACAAAATACAAAGCAGGACCCAAGACCATCAGAACCACCCCAACGCCCACAAGATACCCAAGCAAAACACCCAGCCCCTATAACGGGACTCCAGTACATTAACTCAATCTTCTTGTTGTCTTTGGACTGATCTTTTGGGTTTTTTGACAAGCTTGTTAGGCCCAACACCAAAAATACCTCCTTTTATCCTTGCAAAAACCTTAGAAACTGGCTCGGAAATGGAGAAGGATGAGGATGATGAGATTGTGCTTGATGAGAAGCATGAAGGTGACAGAACGGACAATTTGGAAACAGTGATTAACAAAGACATGGAGGTAAGTAAGATGTTGGGGTTGTTCTTCTTGGGTGGACAGGAATTTACTAGAAAAACTTTCTTGGAAGTGGAAGATGAACCAGGTAAAGTGGCGAAGGCCGGTATGAGGATATAACAACTTCTGAGGCTCCTTCTACTAGGGAGGAGGATGACGGAGTTCAAAAAGGAGAAAAATCTTGGCAATATAAGTGAGATGGTGTGACAGAAGAGCAATTGTATGAGAAGAATGCAGTTTTGTAGCTCGAAAGGGTGAAGGAAAGGAAAGGAGATAAAAAGATCGGTGAGGGTCATCCTAATGCAGTTAAAAGATTTAGGCATAAAAAATTCAACAGATCAGTGCCAGTCTTGAAGGTGTTTGCTAGACTGAAAGGGGGGTCCATTTGGGGTGGGAATTGACAAGAGGGTAAAGAAGACAAAAAGAATTGTGAAGAAAAAGCAAGAGGTTTCTAACAATGCTGTAGCTGGTTTGGGGTGAGTGCATTATGTTTTCTTTTGGGTTGTATCTTAAACCTGGGTGGTATGTAAGTCTCGTTGTCTAGTTGGAGAGTTGGGGGACAAATGTTAGGTCAGTTTGTTATTTTAATTTGTTTTGTGGGCGGGGAGTGGTGTGATTGAGTTTGCTAGGGCGGGGTTTCTGTTATGTTTGTAGTGATTTCTTATCACAGTTTGGATGTTTTCCCTCTTCTTTTTTAATAATTTTTTCTTTATTTATCTTAAAAAAAAACCTTAGAAACTGGGATCTGCTATTGATTTCTTTTATTCTTTTGATCTCTGAATCTTCTCAGTGTATTTAGAGTTCCCACAGCTTCTTCAGATTTCCCTGCAGACTTTTGACCCCTATCTGAAACCACCACCACCTCAAACTCTTCTTCTGGCTCCTTGGTGATATCCCCGCAACCTCCAACAGCCTCTTCCAACTCTTGAATTATTGAGTTATAATAATTGCAGGTAACCACTAGAGTTACTGTACTTCTGTTCTCCCCAATACTTTCTTCGACAGACCTGAATGATTCCTTCGAAAACTCCTCCCCTCTTAGGAAAAACAAACCCAAAATTTTGCTGACTTCCACTCCTCTATTCATCACTTTGTCGATGTCACAAGTTTTATCTACCTTATGGCTAATCATGTTTCATGCTCCTTAA